TTGGTTGGGAATTCGATTCTCTACTATGCATCCCAGAAGAGCCAGCCTGGGGGGCCTTGGGCCAGCTGCACACAGAACAAGGGAATGATAAGCCAATTTTGAATATTCTCTATCTAGAAAACCTGAAAAGGGTCAGCATAAGTCAGAACTGACTTGATGGCACACAGTTCTTTATTAATGCACTCTTTGTTGTTGTTTAGTCGTTAAGTTTTGTCTGACTCCTCATGACCCCATGGACCAGAGCACACCAGGCTCTCCTCTCTTCCACAACCTCCCGAAGTTTGGTCAAATTCATGTTGGTAGCTTCGGTAACCCTGTCCAGCCATCTCATCCTTGGTCGTCCCCTTCTCCTCTTGCCTTCACACTTTCACAACATCAGGGTCTTTTCCAGGGAGTCTTCTCTTCTCATGAGATGGCCCAAGTCTTGGAGCCTCAGCTTCAGGATCTGTCCTTCCAGTGAGCACTCAGGGTTGATTTCCTTCAGAAGGGATAGGTTTGTTCTCTTTGCAGTCCAGGGGGCTCTCAAGATTCTCCTCCAGCACCACAATTCAAAAGCATCGATTCTTCGGCGGTCAGCCTTCTTTACGGTCCAGCTCTCACTTCCATACATCGCTACTGGAAAAACCATAGCTTTGACTATGCGGACCTTTGTTGGCAAGGTGATGTCTCCGCTTTTTAAGATGCTGTCGAGGTTCGTCTTCGCTTTCCTCCCAAGAAGCAGGCGTCTTTTAATTTCGTGACTGCTGTCCCCATCTGCAGTGATCACGGAGCCCTGATACAGTCGTGCAGGAGGTGTGAACCAATCAGAAATGCCAACGTGGTCTCTCTCTAATCTTGTATTTGCATATTAAAGCCATGTCCAGCTCCGCCTTCCCCCAACCTGGTGCCTTCCAAGTGTGTCCGACTACAACTCACATAATTCCAACTTTTGAGTGAGGAATGCAACGATGCTGCATATGTTCCCGAAGTGGATTTGAATTATTACTCATCAGTTTAGAAGTACAGGCGGCACACAGCACAGCGTGTTCGGCTACACATGTTGACCCAGGTGGGTCACACCCGGTCAGCTACAAACTCTGCTTCAATGAAGTAACAGCATGCAAACAAAGTTCAATGGCACAGAGACCTTGCCAGAGTTAACAAACTATGCACAGACTCAGAGTGATGATTAATCACTGTGCCTGGTTCCAACTGCTGTGGGTAACCCCATGGGACCGGCCAGCCAAGCCCCATGGGGGCTCCCTGATTCTCTCTCTCTCTCTCTCTCCCTGAGAAACAAAAGATCAGCAACAATTTCAGTTCAGACCGGAGCTTGGAATGTTGTGTTTTTTTAAAAAGTTATTCATTCCCATCACATACATTACAGCATTTGAGAAGTAACTGACATTATTTATGAACAATGCTAGGTAACACAGAGGTTTTGGTCTCTAGCTGTGGGGCCAAAGGGTGGGAACTGACTGTACCTCCTTGACAGGAGCTGGACTTCCCTCCCAATCATGCAGCTCGATGATGATGATGATGATGATGATGATGATGATGATGATGATGATGATGACGACGACGACGACGACAACGACGATAGGAAAGTAACTTGTTCCACTTTTTCCACTATCCGTTTTTTTTAAAGCATCTTAGAGTTCTTTTTTTAAAAAAAAGGAAATTGCATGAATTGTGAAAATGTCATATCAACTCGCTCCCAAACTTGCCATAAAATGCCCTTTAAAAGTAATAAAACTAATTGGAAAATGTTGCTCATTAGACCAAGAAAGGGCTCTTCCAGTTCTACCCTCTCTCACTCCACTGCAGATGTGGGAGCGCTTTATAATAATTTGCAGTCAAGCCCACCTTGAAAAAGCCACTTTGACACCCTTTAAAATTCTCATTTTTAAAAAGGAAGAAAAATCCACTATTTTGCTGGAGCTTCCCTCCAACAGTATGCCTGTTTGTTTGCTTGCTTGTTTGCTTGCTTGTTTTGAGTGCTACTGAATGTTTCTCACCGGACATTACATTTGAATGGCAAGGACCAAAGTGCTGTATCCTGCCCCCACTCTCATGCAAAGTAATACTAAAAATGAACCATGTTTTCCAGAAAGACAAAAAAAGTGGAGAAAACAACAGGAACAGTTACTGTACTAAGTAAAAGGAGAAGGTAGAGATGGGCACAAACCACTAGCCACTTGGAGGCAGCAACCCAGCTTCCCTGCCCGGCCTCCTCTGCGTGCTGCCTCTGAATGGGCACCTGCAGGAGGAGGCAGAGCTTGGAAGTGCCAGACACCAGTTCGGCTTGTAAATGAACCAGCACAAACTGCCGAACTTGTGGCTCATGCCCTTCTCTACTTGCCAGTCAAAATACCTGTTAACACTCAAGCGAATCCCAGTGCATTAAGGGGAACCAATGGTCCATTTGGCAGTGTCCAGAGTAACTTTATTTGTATTAATTACACTGCTTTTCAAATATTCTTTTATTACTCCTAAATAGTAATTAGCTTCAGGTAACTGCTTTACCTTGGTTACTTCTACAGAATATCACTATCCTCAAGCCAAAGATCCTACCTTTTAGAAGTTGGCTCTCTGTTTGAAGAAAATAGTGATTTTCTTGTGCTACTATATGTTGCTCATTACTTTCTTGTAACTTTTGAGCATCGTTAGGACTGATAAGAAACTCGCATAACACTTACTTGAGAACTTTATGTCAAAATGCTACCCTCTACAAATATCCTTTAAAAATATCTTGAATGTAACTTTTAAAGGTAAGGTTGATAAGTAGATAAGTCAGAGCTTTCCATTTTCTTTATCCTTCCACCCCTGAACCTTGATTATATCATTTAGCAATGACGGTTCCCCCGGCCAAGTGCATCGAGGGTCTCTCCAGGACAGTGCACGGGAGGTTATTCCCACCAAGCACAAATTTAGGATTAATGATTGATTGATTGATGGACCTTGATTTCATAATTTAAAGCTTGGCTCCAGAAAGGATGTCAAGATTCTTGTCTTTATAAATAGGACCCATGCCATTAGAGGTTGCAGCTGCCCTGTTCCAGCAACGTGGACTGTGCCACTATTGGGGGCGAAAACATGGCATTCAATGGCACGTGGCAGGTCTATGCCCAAGAGAATTATGAAGAGTTCCTGAAAGCAATTGGTAAGCAATTCGTGGCTTCTGTCAAAACGGGGGAACCCACTCGAGCGGCCTCCAGACATGTCGGACTATAACCACCATGTGGTTGCCTGCTGGCAATACCCACAAATATACCAGCTGGAAATGCTGGGAGATGTACAGTGGTGCCTCGCTATACAGTTACCCCGCATGACAGTTTTTTTCACTAGACATTGGCTTTTTGCGATCGCTATAGCGATTTGCAAAACAGTGATTCCTATGGGGGAATTTCGCTGGACAATGTTTGGTTCCTGCTTCTCAAACTGATTTTTGCTAGATGACGATTTTGACAGCTCCTTCTGTGCTCGCAAAACGGGTGTTTGTGGGATCTAAGCTTCGCAAGACAGTGATTTAAACATCTGATCAGCGGTTCACAAAGCGGCTTTCCTATGGCCAATCCTCGCTAGACAATGATGATTCTTCCCCATTGGAACGCATTAAACAGGTTTCAATGCATTCCAATGGGGAAATGCTTTTCGCTAAACAATGATTTCGCTAACCAGCGATTTCAGTGGAACGGATTATCATAGTCTAGTGAGGCACCACTTGTATTGCAAAACATGTAGAGAGCATTAGGTTGGGGGAAAGCTGTCATAGAGTACAATCTGGTGGACCCCCATGGTGGGCACATTTCTTCTAAATTGATAGCTGTCGCTGTTTGCAAAGCCCTTTGGGCTGAGCAATCTACAACTAAGAGTAATGCATACTTTGGGTGAGGCTGCCTTCATGGGAATGCTGCAAGGAGCAGGCAGGTCGAATCCTGATTTTGTTGCAAATGCCCTTAAAGCTCAGACAACATTAGCAGGAACGGGGAGGCACTGAGTATTTTCTACCCAGGAATGCTTGTCAATGCATTTGATCTGTTTTAAATTAATTGGAGTTTAAGGTCACTTGGTTATGCACGGAGTAAAAACAGTGTTACATTTTTTAAAAATCATAACTCGAAAACACTTTATCGGAGGCACTGTTTCTACCCAGGAATGCTTGTCAATGCATTTGATCTGTTTTAAATTAATTGGAGTTTAAGGTCACTTGGTTATGCACGGAGTAAAAACAGTGTTACATTTTTTAAAAATCAAATCACGAAAACACTTTATCTAAATGTCCCCAAATGTGGTGCAAAGCAAGAGAAGACTTTGTTACTTCTGTGCCAATGTTGGTGGTGATCCAGGGTCCAGTTTCATAGTTATATGTTTTTGTTTGGTTCATCCCTATTTTTAGAATTGCCTTGTGGAATGCTGAATGCCCCTATCAGCACAGTATTTTGCTACGTGCCTGTGAAGCAATAATCATCATGTGCTGTCAAGCAAATTCTGGTGTTTGGTGACCCTTTCCAGGGTTTTCCGGACACAGAAAACTCAGAAGTGATTTCCCATTCCCTTCTTTGGGGGGGGGGGTGTTGCCCTGGGACTGTGCAGCTGGCCCAGGGCTACACAGGCCGGCTGTTCTCCCAGAAGGCCCAGTGGGGGAATCGAACCCCCAACCTCTGATTCTGCAGCCAGAGACCTAAACCACTGAGCTATCCAATCATCTCACTGCCCTTTAGCCAGAGATTAAAGAGATAAAATTTGGCTCTTGGGTTAAAAGAGGTTCCCTAAAGGTGGGATAAATTGGAGTGGGCAACAGGTGGTCTTCCCGATGCGGCTGGACTGTAGCTCCCAGCATTCCTCACCATCAGCTATGCTAGCTAAGGCTTATGGGCATTGTAGTCTACCAACATCTGAAGGCTACACTCTGGCAACCATCATGCACACTTTGTCTGTTCCAGCTACGGGGCTGTTTTGTTCTCCATTCATGTAGTTTTGATACTCTTTACCTAACAATATACGGCTTCTCCTCCTTTTCCACCTCCAGCCTTGCCAGATGATATTATCAAAGTCGCCAAAGATGTGAAGCCCATCACAGAAATCCACCAGACGGGGAATACATTCGTTGTCACGTCTAAAACTCCCAACAAATCTGTCACTAACACCTTCACGCTGGGGAAAGAAGCGGACATGAACACCATGGATGGGAAAAAACTCAAGGTAACGAATGGCTTTGAGTGTCAAGAAGAGCAACAGCTGCAGCGGCTTCGCTAACACCTGGGAGCTGCTGCTTTGGACCACAGTTCCCATAATCCCCACCATGGCCAGCATGCTTGGCTGGGAGATTCTGGAGTCGCGAGCCAAAGCAGTACAAATTTCAAACTCTGTTTTTGCCTTAATGGCTTGGAAATGTTAGTGAACGAGGCTGCACTACAAAACTGGTAAAGAGTGGGGTGTCCCTACTGTGGTTTACCCAGAAGGATTCCCCTGGAAAGTTTACACAGAGGGAGCCGAGCTTCTCTATTTCAGCATTTATAGCAAAGCAAAAATAACAGCAGAAGTATCACAGCATGTTATGGACTAACAGGCTTATTGGACGAGAAAATGTCATGGGTAACAATCTGTTTTCTCAGACACATGGAGCGCAATAGTTATGCCAGAGGGTTAGACAGGATGGCCGAAATCCTGTTGCACAGCTGTGCAGGCAGAATGGGGATGACATCATCAGCAGATGTAAATCACCATTGAGTAAAGGCTTCCTATGGCAATGCTGGGGTTCATGTGACTTCCACGCATTGCATCTGAATCATATGGCTGATGCTTTTTGGACCCACTTAACTTTCCTAACACTTTCCAAGGGCAGCCCCATGTAGGGCATGTTACAGTAATCCAGCTGAGATGTAATTAAGACATGTGTCACTGTGGCCGGAGAAGATTTCTCTTGGGAAGGGTGCAGTGGATACCAACTTCCTTTTATTCAGATGCAACTCTGGCTTTTGCTAACTACTGTATACAGTAGTCCATTTGTCTTTGGTCATTTGAATGCCAGTAGCTGCCCAATTTTTGTTCAATAACCTTTCCTCCTTCTCCTAAACAGTGCACAGTAAACCTGGTAGACGGGAAACTAATAGCCAAAGGAGACAAATTTATACACGAGCAGGAAATAGTAGGCAACGAAATGGTGGAGGTAAGTAAATATTGATCCTTTACAGAAAGAGTAAAAGAGTTGGAGAAGAATTTATCTCTCAAATAGAAGTGTTGGATTTTCCCCTGTCCGTTCGATCCGATTTGGAAGCCTCTGGTCCCAGATATGAGGCTAGCATTAGATGAGAACACAGTTACTGTAACTGTTTGCTTTTTACAATTTATTTTTGACATCTGTCTACTTGCTTATGGATCCTGAGAACTCTGAAGATTATTCATAAGAGAAAACCAGTTTGGATGCACTGAGAAGCAGCAAACCGTGGGTGGCAGCTGATGACCAGGGATGGGATTTTTTAACATTTCTTGATTACAAATCCCATAAATCGCCATCCTGAGAGCTCCTCCTGACCAACAGATATCTTCCAGACGCCTAAATATGGCTCACCTGAGATTAAAGCCTCAACTTAAGGCTTTGAGGCTTAGCTAGGCCTAACCCTTCCTAGCTTCCTGTTCAAAAAAGGAAGTTCCCAGCTGTCAGTAGGGAAGGTGCATGATGTTGGGGCAGAACTTGCTAAGCCTCAAAGTTTTTCACTTGAAGCCTTTCTCCTTGGTGAGCCATATTTAGTTGTCTTCAAGTTCTCTTTCTGTCAGGTGGAACACCCAGAATGGAGAACTATGGGATTTGTAGTCCAAGAAATTGAAAAAATCCCGCCCCTGCCTCTAATTTCATAGCAGTGTATCCTCTCTTGAGTTCTACTCTAAACTCTACAAGAGTTGATAAACTCCATGACTAAATTTAATAAATAAATAGAAGCTCCTGTAAAGTTTGGGATAAAACGTAGAGTGGATGTACTAGTCTCTACTGCAAGTTTGTTTTTTATTTTTACTTTTTCAAATATCTTTGGGGTCTTAGCTTTGTAAAAACAGGTCTAGTGCTATTCCTTGTTGACCCAGCCTAAAAATGAACTCTGAGAGATAAGAGAAAGCTTTGTTTCTATGCCTGTTCACTTAAAAGGAAGTCCCACCAACCATGGGGAACTTACTTCTGAGAAAATATAAATGTTGGCCATCTACCTATCCCGAATCAGAACACGGGCCCATCTGAATCAGTCGTATCCACAGTGACTGGACACAGATGTCCAGCAATCGTTCCCATTCTTGCTGGCCACAAGGCATTGATCAGGACTTACTAGTACATCTTAGGATAATGCTCCATACATCACCAGATATTTCTGATTCCCAGTTTTCTAACCATAACCGCAACTAAGCCTCCTCACCACCAACCAAATTTGATTATGGAGCAACACCCGGAGTGGATCTTTGTATGTGAAAGGATTTCTAGCCCTACATGTTCGTAAGATGACATCTGTATATAGAATGCCTATTGACTTTCTCAAATCTTTCTCAACTTGCTGCCCTCTCTAGTCATTATGGACCCTGAACGGGTTGAGCATAATGGGAATTGTAGTCTCTAGTATCTGAAGAGGTTGGGGAAGACTTGTAAACACTCCACTGGCTTCTGGGATTATCCCTGCTCTTCATCACTTTTATAATCCTTGTTGCTTTGTTTGCGGTGCACTGTGCTGGTGTTTAGAGCAGATTGACACCATTTTACACAGTCATTTAGAGAGGCCTCTCCCCTCTGTTTCTCCTACAGACCATAACATCTGGCTCAGCAACATTCACCAGAAGAAGCAGGAAGATCTAGAAACCAAGAAAAGAACCCTCTTTTGTAGTAGATGTTTTTATATTTGGGAAATAAAAGTATGCTGTTCATTGCTAAAGTTTCATTTTATTCCATATGCTTTTTTAAAAGCTTGCCAACCTGGAGGTTAACTCTGGGCAAAATGGTATCTGGGCTTTCAGCTTCCTGCATAAATGGTACCAGTTTCTACATAAGCTTCTACAGTTATATACATTGCAACCCACAAGAAGGTACACCAGTGGTGGAAGACTCTAATGCAGTGTCTCCCACCCTGGGTCCCCAGATCTTCTTTGACTACAACTCCCAGAAGCCCTTGCCAGCACAGCTAGTGGTGACCCAGGGCTGGGAACCACAGTTCTAATGGAATGTGGTATGTTTGACCCTTCAGAGACTGCTCCAGCTCCCATCATTCCTCACCACTAGTTATGCTGGCTAGGACTGATGGGATTTGGTATGTACATTTCTCACCTCGCCTGGAATACTCTGTTAGAGACGCTATACGTTGGATGTGACCCGGCAGAACAAATTCAAGAAAACATATTCTGATTGCCTAAAAAGGCAGCAACCACTGATTGCTTGGAGCCATCTGACTTGAAAATCATGAACATACTCTGATACAAGCTGTTGGAAATGTTGTGAATGTTAATCAATTTTTGAACGATAGTGAGCCCAAGAGGGGATCCTGTAATGTAAACCATCTTGACTGCTGCCATTGGTGTTGTCAACATTCAGGCTGCCCTTTGTTATGTAAACCATGGCCTCCTTTTTCCTGCTGGCAATGTGGGCAGCAATATTGGTCCGTTTCCTGGCTTTTTGAATTGTGGGTACAGAAGCACCATATCTCATATTCATCAACCGGAGTTTTTTTTTAAGCATTGAATCTGATATAAGCTGTTGGAAATGTTGTGGTGGGAAAAGCCAGGCCCAGTTACACAAGTTATACAAATCCTACAGGTTTGGACCAAAGCAAATGTCACACTGTATTTTTTTTTCCCAAGGTGCATTTGCTGATGGTTCACATCCTCTGTAGGAAACAAATTTTTACGCTTGTCCCACCTAAACTGAGTGAGGCCACTCTGGAGCACAGTGGTGTAGCCACAGTGACATCCCATCAACAGCTCTGTCAGAGGGTCTTGATCCCACTCTGACAGAAACAGAAAGCCCACCTCTTCATCTCTGGTAACTTTTAAGGAAATAGAAACTAAAAGTAAAAATACTGGGAGTAAACACAATGGACAGAACATGGGATTGAGGGAGAGCAAATTCTTGGCAACTGTTATGGAAACTCTAGATCCCATCTAGACCTCTTCTGTGTGTTGTCGCAGGTAGGCATACAGATGTTCTACAGAAAACCTAACACTATCCTACAGTGACAACATTGAAAACCACACTATGGAAGCATAATTCCACAGTGCTTGGCATATCTTACAAGAGACAACTACAGTGGGGTCTTGACTTGAGAACTTAATCCGTATTGGAAGGCGGTTCTCAAGTCAAAAAGTCTGTAAGTCAAGTCTCCATTGACCTACAGTGCATTGAAAACCGATTAATCCTGTAACAGGCCGTTTTTGTTCCATTTTGGTTTTTTTCTGGTCTGTAAGTCAAATCTCAGTCTGCAAGTCAAACCTAAATGTTGCGGCCAGAGAAGTCTGTAACTCAAAAAGTCTGTAAGTCAAGCCGTCTGTAAGTCAAGGGTCCACTGTATGTGGGAAATATTTCATTCCCTGTATGTCTCCCAGGAGACGAGCCAGCCTGTGTAGCCTTGGGCAAACTATAGTCTCAAAGCACCCCCAGAAGAAGGGAACAGTAAACCAACCACTTCTGTGTATCTTATACAGTACCTGGCATACCATGGAAAGCACTGCATTGCTAATTAATTCATGCCACCTTTCTCCTAAGGATCCAAGGCAGCTTTCAGTCTTAAAAGTGAAAAGCTGAAATAATAAATTGTTACAATATTTTAAAAATTGTATATATTCAGACTTAAAAATAAGAGTTATATTAAAAGCACAAGTAAAAGAAAATTGAACATATATATTCAGTTATATAAGAGTTATATTAAAAGCACAAGTAAAACAGAACGATCCCCGTGTTTTAAAAAATAAGTCCCCTTGGTCAACCCGTCATTTAAAGAAAAGGATGCTTGAAGAGAAAGGCCTTGGCCTGCTTGCAGGACAGCCAAGATGGACCCCACCAGACTTCCCATGGCAAGGAGTTCCAGAGTTTGGGAGCAGCAACTTCCCATGACAAGGAGTTCCAGAGTTTGGGAGCAGCAACAGAAAAGGTCCTGGGCAGCAAATTATCATCGCTAACACCATTCTCAAGCCAAGCCAGAACTCTCTCTAGAACCAAAAGGGAGGAAACCGAGGCTACTGTATTTTAGGCACATTACTAGGAAAAGCTGAAGGCAGCAGGAAAAGAGGAACAGATAATACGAGATGGAGTGATTCGGTGGAGCAGCCACAACTTTTTGTTTGCAGGACTTAAGCAGGGCTGTTCATGGCAGGAACATTTGGAGTCACCGATTCATTGGGCTGCTGTTAAATTTAAAGTAACTTGCTGGCACAACAAAGACACCAACGCTAATGGTACTAATATACTCGTGTTTTAACAAGTATCCGAAGATAAAACTCTGATCATTCGCTAATAGGGAACATCAACCCCCTCCACGAGCAGCACATTGCGCATGCGCACTTCACGGCGGGGCAGAGCCACGGAGCTCGCGATAGGAAGGAAGGGAGGGGAAGAAAGGGAGGGTTGAGGAGCCAACGCGCATGCGCCCAATGTCGCAACGCGCGAAGCGAGGATAGAGAAAGAGCCCAAGGAACGTCAGGAAGAATGCGGCGCATGCGCTCTTCTCCTCTCTCTCCCGGCCGTCTATTGTGAGCTCGCGGCCGCTTATCTCTCGCCGTCGGAATTCTCGCGGGGGGTGGTGGTGCTTCAAACCTCGCGAGAGGTGGTCGCGAGGCGGTTGGCGCGGAGGCTCCTCTCGTCTCGTCTTCTCGGTCGCCTCAGGAAAAGGGCCTCATTTCTTTCCTCGCGCCTTCCTTTTTCTCTCTCTCCCTCACGGCCGCCATCCCACCGCGCCATGTCTCGCTACCTGCGGCCTCCCAACAGCTCGCTGTTCGTGCGGAACGTGGCCGACGACACCAGGTGCGTGTAAGTGAGGAGAGAGCCGGCCGGAGGGGGGGGAAGAGGGGCTGACGAGGGGGTGTCGGAATTGGGGGTGAGGGTGGGCGCCCTACCCCTGGACACCCTCTCTTTCCTGCCCCGCACCCTCGCCTCACGCTTTGGCGGGCCTCCCGAGGCCGCCATTGAAGCGGGAGTACTTTTGTCTTTGTGTGTGTGTGTGTGTGTGTGTGTGTGTTTCTGGTTGTGTGTGTTCTCGGGGTAGGCCTTCCGCCTCGCCTTCCCGCCCTCTGGCTTCTCCTTTTTCTGTGGTTTCTTCGCCTCAGTCCCCCCCTTCCTCCTCCCTGGGAGCGAAAGGGGAAGCTGTCTTCCTTTGGGATTTGAACCCTGGACCCTTTTTTTTCCGAATTTCTTTCCTTTAGCGCGCATTTCCAACGTTTGAGAGCCCGGGGGGGCGGGTTTAGAAAGAACAACCATCCGATCACAAGGACGTAGATCAGTTAATGAAAAACGAGGAATAGCGCCTCAGACTGTTGCATGGGAACTGTTTTGAGCATTTCAGGCAAAATCCAAATTGGGGGGAAAAGACCCACACGCCCAAAAAAAGCCATGTGGCACCTTAAAGACTCGCTATTATATTTTAATGTGAGCTGTCGTGGACCTACGAAAAGGTGCTACATGCTCGCTCTCTTTCTCTCTTTTGGTTCCTTTTTTTTATTTGGGTTTTGCCCAATAGGCTTGCACAGACTAACAGGGCTGCCTCTTCTAAAACTACAACTGGCTCGAGAATTTTTGCAATACAAGTGGACACTAAACGTAGGTCCTGAATTACAGCACCTGAGATATAACACACCCCAGACTCTTGAAGCCAGTGATGGTTTTACCTGTAAATTCTGTATTTTATTTTATTCTACATGTCTGAAGAAGTGGACTTGATCCACAAAAGCACATATTAAAATTGTCTTGAAGGTGCCACATGATTTTTGTCTTTTTTTTTTTTCCTTTCCCCTTTGGATTTTGCCTGATATGCTTGCACAGACTAACATGGCTACATCTTCAGAAAATTTAAAACCTTACTCTCCTTTCTCTCCCTATTCTTCCTTTTTTAACTCTGCTTTTCTTTGTCCACGTCTTCAATTTACCTTTATCATACATTTATCCTCAATAAGATTCCTCTTTATTATTATTATTATTATTTATTGTATTTATACCCCGCCTATCTAGTCATTTCTCTCTCATTTTCCCCAGTAAATTTAAGTTTTTAAAAACCACATTTGCAAAGTCACATTTTTACATGTTCTTTAGTGAATTAAAGGGAGAAGTATATCTTATATTTTTCTGTCAATCACTTTGATGTTTTAAAACTTAGGCCTATTCAGACTTTGTAAGGAAGTCACTTACCTGTTCTGCTTGGTGAACATGTGGTTAAAGGCATTGTAACATTTCAGGTATTTTAAAGAGGTTTATGCTTTTAAACGTACCTGAAGTATCAATGTGCAGTGACTGCCTTACATTTCTAATAATTGAAGGGAAATATGGCATGCTTCATGCACAGTGATTAATATATTGTATTTTTAGGAAATTACACCATATACTGTTGTGAAACTGTATGTCATTTAATGGATAGTGGTGCAGTATAGAATCTTTTATGAGTGCATCATTTTGGACTAAGATAGTAATGGTGAACGCTAAATTTAGGAGATAAGTGAAATGTTGGCATAGCATGTCCCTTAATATTAGAATAAATGACAACAAATATATTCCCACAGACAACTATATTTCCTCCTTTACAATGGTAATAATTTATTTATTTTATTTAAGATATTTTTACTCTACCTTTCTCTTTTAAAAGGATTTACTCAAGATGACTTAGCTCATTAAAAAGGATTTAAAAGCTAAAAACTAAATAAACAAATATTTAAAAGAATTAAACATATTAAAAAACAGCAAATAAAATCAATTCTAAAAACACATTTAAATTAGCAAGGGTCCTTTTCTAAGGAAAAGATGGTCAAATATTTTTAATAAAATAAATCCTTTTTTAAAAGTCCTCTAAGACAGCTAGTCACTAAGGGAAAGCTTGACTGGTAGAGAAATGCCTTTTCTTCTTGTAAAGGAGCAAATCATTTTTGTGTGATCCTTTGAGTTTGTGAATTAAAGAGAGAAATGGACCAGGAAGTAGGCAAGATAATATCTCCATGATGGCTCTTTGTTCTTGGGACCCTGAGAACCTCTGAAGTGTGCTTCAGCTGTAGAAATTATGATTAATAAATGCACGAAGAGTGAGTGGCTTACCTGAAAGTCCTGTGGTGAGCTGTTCTCCGAGTAAGCTTCCGAAATTCAAGATCAGTTTAGTCATGTATCACTTAGTGAAGTACAGTGTTTATATTTTTATGTCCATGTATTTTCAGTAAATGACGTGTCATAGGTCTTAAGTTCTTCAGAAAGACGTTACTATAATTAAATGTTTTAAAACATGAAAAGCGTAGACTGATCTTGTTCAAAGCTGGAAAGAAAATTATTCCACCCATTCAATCACATAATATGTTTGTGGTAGGATTCCACCGCCACCCATAATCCTATGGTGAAATATGATAATTCATTTAATTTTATTTGTGTTCACTGAAATAAGTCCTGTTTTCAATGGGACATCCCAGGTAAGTAATTCTCACAATACAGTGGCACCTCGGTTTACGAAATTAATGCGTTCTACAGGACATTATGTTAAACGAAAAATTTGTAAACTGGAAAGCAGATTGCCATAGGAACGGAAGCGGCACTATAAACTTCCAGGCACAATGCATCCTGAGGAAACGTTTTTTGTAAACCAAAACAAAAGGTAAACCGAGGTGTTATTTTCAACGGATTTCCATTTGTAAACTGAAAATTATGTTAATGGAGGCGTTTGTAAACTATAAACTATACTACTGTATAGCCTTATTTTTACATAGTGGTTGGACACTTGAGGGTCTGTGTGTGTTCATGAAGACTTGTTTCTCAGGTTCCATTCACTTGTATTACTTTAAATGAAAGGATTCAAATGTGTAGTATTCTCTTTCAGGTCTGAAGACTTGCGCAGAGAATTTGGCCGTTACGGTCCAATAGTTGATGTATATGTACCTTTGGATTTCTACACACGTCGTCCAAGAGGATTTGCTTATGTTCAATATCCTTTCCTCAGATGGCTGATTAGTGAGGGGTGTTGAAGTTTGAAATTCGCATTTGTGTATGAGGTAACAAACCTAAATGAAAAGCTGTTCTGTGTTGTATGTAATGTCATATTGTCATGTGTTCATTTCTCTCATATTAATTTTCTTATCTTAAAGTTTAAACTATATCCAGTAAAATATGCTTTGTTGTTGCAAGCTTCAAATTCAGATTTTATTTTATTTTTACTTTTAAGATTGAAATAACATTTGCTGCTGCCTCCAAAGTGTCTGTTTCCAGTTGTAATATAAGTGGCAGTTGTGATAAACATCTTATTGAGCTTATCAAAATGTGGCTGATATTTTGTTTAACATCATGGAAAATACAATAATTTGATCAAAAACAAATTGTATAAAGTGAGGTGAAAAATCATATTCTGATTATTGTCCCCTAATTTACTGTCCTCTGTTGTTGTCTCAGAGCGTAAAGCTGTACAGTAATGGCGACCCCAAAGAGAAAGCATGAAAGAACCTTTAGAGTAGAATTCAAGAATTAAGGCAAGTAGACAAGCCAAAGACCTCTTAAGGATCAGGCTTGACGAGAAGGGAGAGTTTGGGAAAAGAAAAGATAAAGAAAAGCTGGAAGAAGGACAAGCCATAATAGGAGACAAAGCTTCGCTTTATCTGCAAATGGGGGAAAAGGTTGTTTTTCAAAGTATAAAGATAAAGCCATCTGTCATATTTGACCAAGCATCTCATGACAAGTCCTTCTGACAAGCACTAAAAGAGTTAAAGGTCAAGATGAAGTTGACTGGTGGCCAAGATAAAAGAAGCCATACCTGATGTATCCTACAGAATAAGAATTGTCCTCTTGCTGCTTGTGTAAGTGGTTAACCAATCAATTTTTTTCTGGTTTAGTCTAGCTATGGGCCCTGTAATAATTTGCTTAATAACAGTGTTGTTTGAGATTGTGGTTTTCAAAGAATGCAGTGACATCTGATTTTAGATTAGTATACCTGTAATAGAGTGAAATTCAGCATCTTTTTAGGAGCTGATATGTGGGTTGTATAGTGATAATCGTGTTTAGATCATATTCAGAATATGAGTATGTCCATATGATCTTTGAGCATAATGTTTCCAGCACATGTCTTTAACATAAAGGTTTGATTTTATATTGATGTTATGTTTAATTCACTGTAGGGAACGTCAGCCTTGCTGCAAGTTTCATCAACAAAGTGCAGCACCATTAATATTAAAGTCTCTGGTTAAGGGGAATATAGTAAATTTTAGAGATAGAACAGCATCAGTATATATGAGATAAATCTGGCATTGTGAGGTTAAACTTTCTTTAGCTGAAATTTGCTTTTTGTCTCAGAAACATCAAATAGATGTTAGCTTATTTTTGTTATGCCATAGAACATGCAAAACAGAGATGTTGATAAACAAGAATATTTAATGGCATTATGGGAAAGGCAGAAGCTTGCTGATTTTGTAGCTGTAAATACTTCAGATCCCCAAGTACCTTAACATCTAGCACATTTGAAGATGTCCGTGATGCTGAAGATGCCCTTCATAATTTGGACCGGAAGTGGATTTGTGGCCGCCAAATAGAAATCCAGTTTGCACAAGGAGATCGGAAAAGTATGTGCACCATCTTTGCGTAATTTGATCATTCATTAGGAAAGTGGGTCTGTCAATACAGTGCTCAGAGTTGTGTTGTAGGGACAGGGGAATATCTTTGAAGCTCCTACCAGACGTCATGAACTATGCTTCATCTGTGTCAGATATTTCAAATAATTCAGTGTTGTGTTACTATCATAATATCAATATTTACAGAGATTGGCTGGCTCTGTACCAGTATAATATTAGATTATTGCTGATAGTAGCAATAGAGTACTTTGAAACAGGAGGGGAAGGGAGTAAGACAAATAGTGTAGCAGTGCTTTGCATGACTATTCATCTGTAGTCCTTTGATCACAAAAATAGAGTAATTAATGTTGTAGTATTAATAGAAAGACATGGGAGTCCACAGTTAGGAACAGGAAGCACCTAAACACTAAACTGATCCCTGAATCCTAAATTTCATGTTTGAAAATATAGAGACAGGTGCAATGTTCTAATGGTTTACATTGGCCCAAATTCTCTTTATCTAATTATGTTGGAATAGCACGACTGGTGTAACTTTTGGAAGCAAGTTTCTCCACATTAAGAAATCTTCTAGACTTTGTCAGTTTTTTACTGTGTTGTGTACTGTGGGATTTGGTCTGTAGTTGAATTTGGCAACTTCATAACTTGTGGCACTTTATTGCAAAAATATGCCATTTGCTTAGCTGTGCAAGAGGATTTCGGCCACTGAGCTATCAATATAAACTTTTAATACAGAGGCATGTTGGGGGAATGAAGAAAATATTGCCTGGTTTAGGAACCTTAGAGAAATAATACACATTCTGGCTCCAAAAATAGTATTGAGAAAAGGTAAAGAACCTCTCTAATGAGGAAGGCAAGGGAAAGGAATTGGCTAGAATTGTAAGGTGTGGTAGTTGTACTTAAAGTCTCAAAAAAGTTCTGCACCATTCTGTTGACTTCCAGTTTGTCCACCAAATAAATATACCACACGGTACATAAAGTTAGTAAATCAGCACAAGAGATGCTGTCTTTTGCACACTGTGTGTGTATGGCTGCCTAGAATTTTGAGGAGCTCATGAGAAGGTGACCATATAAGAGTAGGCTGACCTGTAAATATTCCAGGTAGAAATATTACGCCACTTTACCAGCATGAAGCTCTCTTGATTTATGAGGCAATGAGTCTGTTTCTTTAGGTGTTGCAGACAATGATGTAGTTGCCCATGAAACTTTAAAGCAAACCCTACAATTAGGGCAGAATAAAGGGATCAGTGTCCTGAATCTGAGGAATACAAGGAAACTTCAAAAAGCGTGAATTGTTTTAGAAACTTGGTAGTTAGGAAGATAGTTTAATTTATTTGGCGTTCAGAAGATTCATGTAGTGCAGTAAGGGTATACAGGACAGTGAACTGCAAACTGCACACAATTTGGCATAAATTCACATCTTGCTTCTGGCTGCCAAGGGTCCTGTCCATCTCGGGTTTTTTAGAGCAACAGTACATAGTGTTAACAGTGAAAATAGAAAATATCAACTGTATGCGTCTTCGTGGCTGAGCTGAGTAATATGTCCTTTTATGTATTGGTTAGAAGGTGGAGCTTTTGTAGAAGCCAAGGGAAAGTTTATACTATAAGGTCTAATATTAAAAAATACAGTATAATATTAAACAATTACTGTTCCATTTTTCTGCAGCACCAAACCAAATGAAAGCTAAGGAAGGAAGAAATGTGTACAGCTCTTCCCGTTACGATGATTATGACAGATACAGGCGTTCCAGAAGCCGCAGTTATGAAAGGAGGAGGTCAAGAAGCCGTTCTTTTGACTACAGCTATCGCAGATCTTATAGTCCTAGAAAGTAAGTGTTGTACTTGGCTTGACCTAAGCTGCCATGTAATGAAGAAGAGAGATCACATTGACTGTCTTGACACCTAGATACCAAGTCACCTTAGTAGTAACATGCATGGAAATTGTTACGCCTTGCATGAACCATCAAAAATAGTTTGTGTATTATGGAAGAAAAAAAGGAAAAAAACAGTGCAGTTATCAAGAAAAATTAGTTGGGGATGTGTGAATTGTTGTAAAGGTATATGCCACTGTTTACTTTTTCTGATGTACCTTTTTAGCAGTAGACCTGCTGGAAGACATCGCCGTAGCAGAAGTCATTCAGATAATGATAGGTAAACGCTCTTTTATATAACAAATTTAAAATCAGAACAATGTGTGACTGCAACAATAAGCCATTTAATGTGTGATACACAACACCTAATAGCTTGTCCATGTTCAAATATATTATCTTCCTCTTTCTGATAGGTTCAGACACCGTTACAGGTCTTTTTCAAGGTCAAAGTCCAATTCAAGATCACGATCTAAGTCACCACCCAAAAAAGAAATGAAGGCTAAATCACGTTCTAGGTCTGCATCTCGCACTAAATCTAGAGGCACCTCTAAAATGGATTCTAAGACAGAGTATAAGTCCAGCTCAAGATATGAAAAAGATTCAAGGAAAAAAGAACCAGCTAGATCCAAATCTCAGTCAAGATCGCATTCTAGATCTAGATCAAAATCCAGGTCATGGGCTAGCCCCAAGTCCAGTGGCCACTAACAGTGTACCTTGTTTTATCAGGCATGTATCATCAAGTTAACATAGTTGAGTTATGATGTTGCAACATTGCTTTAAAATAATGTCAGTTATCCCTGTAAGCAGGCAGTTACTATTAAAATAAGATATGAGAATCTCACACACAAGACTCCATTTTGTTAAACATCATGGGCAGCTATTGAAGTCCTTGTGGTGTTTCTTTGTATTTTTTTATAGAAGACCTGCATTTTTATGCTGAAGATATGTATGGTACCTTGAGTAACATCTTAGTTTTCAGCATCATCCTAACAACCTCTTACATTTAAAAAAAAATCCCTTGTCCATTAGTCTGTGCTGCTGTAAAACCGGGCAGCCCTTAAGCAATGGTGACTGCTGTGTAATAAAGACTAATGACTTCAAGTGCATAAAGGAGTGCATTTGTCCATGCCTGTTCTGGCTTTCTCTGGTGGCATTGTGAAGGATGGAATCAGGGTGCTCTGATAATTTCTGAAGGCATGGTTCTGATAATATGACAGAAGAAGCAACCAAGTCATGAGAATGTACTGTGGATTCTGTCTAGACTGCAGTGCTCCTTGACCAATATGTTAACTCCAGAAGCAAAAATACTGAAATAGTTAAAAGATGCATACATTTCTATGCATTATAAAGTGTAAGTTAAGTTTTAGTAGGCCAGTAGTCACAAATTGCTTAAGTTTTCTTGTTGTATTAAGTGCAAATAAAACATCTTAAATTAGCACAGACAATATGTAAGAGCTAAACTTTTATACCAGTGACTTCATAGGTTTCTTGTACTGTATGTCCCTAAGTACCAATTACTAGCCATGTAACTGACAATTTGAGTTCACACATTAAAATCCACATAGCAGGTCAAGTGAGTCTCTGTGCAAGAGACAAAAAGGAGTATAAGTGTTCCTGTTGCAAAATAGCACATCTTAAGTGTGTTCATATTATATGAAGAGCTATTAAAGTTCCTTTTGGCTTACAACACCATATCAAAACTCAATACAAGAGGTTGCCATGACATAATATCAAAGTATTTCCTCAAGTACTGAATGCAGCTTCTCTGTTGAAACGTGAAAGCCAGTATTGAAGCCGTTAAAGGCCCTCTGTCTCTGTTTAGTAGGCTAACTGTATGTTGATGAAACATTGGTTTCCATAAGTCTTTAGTTATTGTAACAGGCCACAGGAGTTAAGGTGGCTTTTGAAATTCTGGCTGTGGGATGTGTTTAAGGGATGATTCTAGAAACTTTGTATATTTGATAGTGTTTCTAACTTTCATTTCATGTTAAAAGTTAATGTTCTTCTATGCAATCATTTATATCTTGTGTTACTTTTAATTTTTTTCTAGACGTCTCCCTGATGTATAGTTTAAAATGGAAGTTTAAAAGTAGCGTTACTGTGCAGCTCTGGTCGGAAGAAAGTTGTGGAAATAAACTTTGTATTTCCTTTCTTACAGAGGCTTCTAAAAGGGTATTTTTATATGTTCTTTTTAAAATAGTGTGTACTACTTTAAAACATCAATGTTTGGATTAAAGATCTAGCTTTTTCTCTGCTTGCTGTAAATCTAGCAAACATGCTGCAATAAAAAAAATAGAAATCCAGTAATTCTTTTATAATCTTGAAATTATAACCTACAGTGCATTTATAGTTGAAAGGAACCTTATTTTAAGTAGACAAAAATTATCTTGTAAGAATGGTAACAACTTGAATTAGTGAAGTTGACAAGTTACAATATTTTTAAAACTTGCTCAACAAGTAAAATATTTCTCACTTTTTAAGAACTTGGTCATTTATCAGCCAGAGGAGGCACCTGAAATATTTCAAGTGACTTTGCCAACAGTAGACTCAATTGCTTACCAAAATGTTCCTGTTTCTTGAAGCTGGATGCTTGAGAGAACCACAGTGATCACATGGAAGTCTTCACCTTCCTGTAGCAAACATCATTGGATCAGTGGCGATTTTACCACAAGACCTGTGTACTTATGCCTTAGCTGCTATGTTTGAAGTCCTTTCTGGAATAGATGGTAGTAAACATGGCAAAATATCTGTTCTTCCAAAGTATGCAAGACCATTGATTGATCCTGTGAATTGAAAGTCTCTTGCAAAGGCATTCTTAAATGTATGAGGTATTTTTACTATTTAAACAGGAAGTCATGTAACAGCTGTCTCACCCTAGTGGATTTACTCATGCTGTGAATAGTGGTCTAAGCCTGAATTTGAGGGTGAAGGCACAGATTAATGGAATACCGGCAAGTTCTTATTAGCATGAAACCCAGCATACTGTACCTGCCCTATTTCCATCTCTCCTTCCACATGCACACACTTAAGCTCTTCTATGGTTTTTTAAAAATAGATTGTTACTAGGTCTCACCCCCATCTTCTCTCATAAGGCGATAGGCAATTTTATGAAACAGGTCTGTTCTAAGCTACTTGAGTCCATGTGTAGAATTCTACCTCTTTGAAATACTAAAATTGATAGGATTGACTTTTGGAATATTTGGACAGAAATAGTTTGTGTAATTATCAGAACATGATCAGAAGAACAGCTGTTAGCTGTCCCTCTCATTTGCCAGAGCCTCTTACACAAGTTGCTGTCACCATTTCTGAAAGTTCATCAGCCACAGGGGGGTTGGTTTGTCCTTTTGTAAACACTGCAACAAATTAAAGAAATGGTTCCAGCCCAATGAAAGATGATCTCATGGGCTATTTAGTGTTCTATTACTCAGAGGCTGCAGGAGGTACACATTTTGTTTAATCAAGGGTCCCTGCTATGACTTTGCCATTTTGTTTACTGGATATCCATAAGCAGCACACACTGCATGCATGCATTCTTGTAGGGACAATAGACTTAGGGCAAGGCAGTTAAAAAGCAGCACTTCTCAGTAGCTGTAAAGCAATATCCTGGTGAATACTGTAACATACAGAACTTACTGCCTGTTTAAAAAGAAAACTTTTTACCAGCCCAAGCAGATTTGTTTGCCTTTGTTACTTACTGGAGCCCACTGCAGCAGAAATCTGCCCATTCTCTCATATACCTGTCAATTCACTTCTGACTTATGGCAACACTAATAGTGCTTTGATGTTCAAGGGGTAGTTTAACATAGTCATGCCATAGTGAACTTCCATGGTTAAGCAGGGGTTTGAACCCAGGTGCCCTGAGTCCTAGTCTGACATTACCCACAATTCTACAAATTATACTTTTCTTTAAGCCATTCAGCCAAATGAATAAATTGTCAGATTACAATTTGGACTATACTTTACTGTGCTGAGCTAAATTCCTTGTTGGCTCAGTTTGCTTACTAAATAAATAAACCAACACATTAATGGGGGAGAAGAGGTTAAGGATTTTTATTTAAATTTTGTTTCCAATTCATATAAAAACAATACATCAAACATGAAATTTAGACCTCCAAAATGCTATTTGGGACATAACCATGATTTAAGTAATATCAAGGACAAATTTGGGAAAGACATAATATTGAGCAAGATGATCAATTTGTTTTCTTTGGAAGCATTTATTTTGAATGTGTAAGTAGTGACGTAATGAAGCTGCCCTGAGACATTCCAAGTTACTTTAAGATATTCTCTCCATTACTACTGGTTACTGTTGGAAATTATTTTTGTCATTGAATAACCATAGAAGGAATTTTATTTTCAGAGGCATTGTTATAAAGTCAGGAACTAAGAACAATATTTGAAATGTCACCAAATTCTAAAGAAGCTACTGTTGGCCAAGTAAAAAGCAAACTAAAAGCAATGCTTCCTACAAACATGTCATGAAATTATTTCCAAAAGTCATGTCACAAAACTGTCAGGGAAAGTGCCAAGTTGAAATATTATAGTTCCAAACTAAATACAGGATCAAAAACCTTTACAAAATGAAGACAGGTGTTTCAGAATACTGAAGGTTCTAACTGGTTTGCCTGTGAAATGTCACTTAACACATTCAAAATAAAAGCAAACTTACTGGTTACAATCAAAATCACACATTTTTTTTGCCTGTGTTGAAACTTATTTTCAGATAACTGCATTGGATTACAGCTACATGGTACAATTCAGTTCCAACAGATTCTATGTTTTTTCTGCATTTAGCAAAAATTGGGCTGCACCCTTTGTTTTAAAAAACCAGCATTCTTTGTACCACATTTACTTGAAAATCCAAGGGCTAAATTCAAGTATTAGTCCCAAGAAAAGTGGACCTCACAAATAAGCAGGGCCACAAAAAATGTTGACATAATTTCCTTGCATTCACCAGTCTACTCTAGTTGGCATCAGCGCCTGGATTCAGTCTTAACTGACAACCTAAGAGAAAACATAGTCAGAATGCTTTCAATGATACTCAAGTGCAATGGCACAGATGTGTGCTCTTACTTTTTTATATTTTTTAACAAAAGTTTTTTTTAAAAAAAATCATGCCATGTTTAGCATGGTCTTTTTTTACATTCAGCAGTTTCGTACTAAAATATTTTATTTTGGCAGGAAAGCCCAGCATAAATTTACATATGCTACAAGTTTTACATTTATTTACATGGCTCTTTCTTCCATCCATAAATGGTATTTTACACTTGCTAAACTCTAATACAGGTTATCCAATTTCATACTGACCTTCATAGTTCTTGTAGTAAACAATACGCAGAACACATTTTAAACACAGTTCAGTAAAATTCTTGGTTAAAAAAAACCTTTGAAGCATTTGGCAGTCACCTGGCAATGCAAAGATTCTTTTACTTGGCGCACACACAAGCTGTTCATGTTCAAAAGCTAGAGATCAACTGTATGCCAGTGTTTCTGTTATTCAACAAGTGCTACACAGACTGCAATGTTTACATTTTGGTCACAGGGCTATGGGTGGATGCATACATTCCTGTTCAAACTACCATTCCTAATCACTGTTAAGATAATGTGTAGTTTAGTAAACTAAAAGACTTGTACATGTACATTATAATCTAAGTGGATTTCTTTTAGGTGTGCTAATATTTTAATGAACAGCTTTCATCAGAAAACAAGTTTCTAATCTGACTTGAAAGCTTACAATATCTCACAGTATACATTTTGCAATTATATTGCATTTTATCTGACAGAATTTGGTCTATGGCATCCCTTCAACTCCTCTGAAAATATATGGCAAATCAAGCAGGTTTAGAACACAAGGTAGTTGAAATTAAGTGTCAAAACACTTAGTAATGAAGGTTATGGCCGGGAATAGGTTCAGGCTGCCTTCTGATTTGTAACTGCACATCAGTAGGCTACAGAACTGAATACAGTGCACAGAACCCCAAAAAGGATGAAAAGTTAATGGGGTCTGGGAGCCCTCCCAATGATAGAGAATTCAACAATCTAGTAATATGTAGCTTGTGTAATACCAAAAAATGTGCCTTTGTATTTTGGAAACCAACATGGACCCACATTGTGCGATATCAAACTAAGAAGTGTGTCATTTTTCCCAATGTACAATTAAAACTATCTCAAGCCTGGACTTTAAGCAAGGTCTTAAGTTGAAAAGTCATGATTTCTTTATCAGCAGGATTAAGTGAAACAGACACCCAGTGACTTGGTGGTTTAGGAAGAACACTTGGAGATGGTGGCTCACTGAACTTTGCTCCAGCATAGTTCTGGTTGGCTTGAGACATGAAGAGTGAATTAGAAAGCACTGGATTCCAATTCTGGTTAGCTGGAAAATGCATTGTGTTCTTCCCCCCATTTTGCATGGCCTGCCATGCTACAGATGATGAGTTGCACCCATGCCCCCTCTCTTTTTTATGGATTTTCTTCATCTGGGAATTCTGATCTTTGCTCTTTTTCCTGTTGTTCAGTTGTTGATGATTCTTAGTAGCATTTCTGGGCTGGCTAGATGGAACACTGAACCTTTCTCCGCCGCCCATCTTCAACTTAAGTGTCACCTAACAAGAGAAGATTCAATTGTCAACAGAAAACAAAACTACCTTTTTGGAAATGCAAATAGAATGTTCTTGCTTTGCAGAGCAGAATAAATGACACCTGAAAACCTGAAGAGGCATAAATTGTAGTGGCAGTTGACACTGTTAGAATTTAACAAACCTAAATGAGCAATAAACATGCACTACACAAAACTAATTCAAGACAAAACAGAACTTAATACTTTGTAAACAAACACTTTGTTACAATTTTTTGTAGATAATATACCAAAAGGAACATGCCTAGAAGTTTGAGACTACAGTACTAGATTCTCTCCTAAAACATACTAGCAAGACAAAGTATTTAAAACATTGTAATGACCTGTGAGATTTAGGTGTGGATTTGTTTGTGGGTTTTTTTTTTTTTTTGGGTTTTGTTTTTTGTATTTTTGGGCAAGGAACGCATCTTTCTATGTTCAGTAAAAGGGCTGAAGTTTCCTTGTACAACATACTGGTCCTGTATTAAACATTACAGCCAATAATGTTTTAAGTCTGCCATGAACATAACTGCAAAGGCAGAAGTGGTAGGAAGCCAATGGTCTGGTTGCACAGGCAGCCATGCAAACTCACCACTCTGTTTTGCCAAAGCCTCTTGCGGTTATGCACATGGAAAACTGAACTGGATACTAGTCTACCTTAAGATTCAAATATTCCTTATAAGAATGCCACAAACAAGTCCACCACAGGCTGGTAACAGAATGTATTCTGACATTAACCATAATTTCCAAATCTCAAAGTAGGTCAGAAGGAAAAATTAATATTTTAATAAAAACACATTAATGGCTTCATGCAAAGTGAGTGATTGCATGTACTCTACGCTAGAAAGCAGGAACCTATCACCAAGATACTGTTTACAGAATTAAGCGCAGCTGGACAAAGAAGTTTCATTTAGAAGCAGTTCGAAGTGCCAAGGTTTAAGAACCCAACATGTTTTTGCCCTCTTTACCTTTCAGTTCGCTTTTCAGATTCCACAGTCTCCACCTCCTGCCCTCTCTCCTGCTGCCAGACCTGAAAGAATAGATGCTGACTCCTGTTAAACCCCTTCCTTTGGCTGGGGATGGTAGTTCTCATGGGCCGATTTGCTGTTTTCAGCCACGAAGCCAAGCCCAACATCGGATTCTTGGCACACAGGCTTCAAGGATAGAAGTCCCAGCTCTGAAAAGAAAACAATTTGAACAAGGTCAAATCAAAAATAGCACTTAGTAAGGAACATAGTTTAGAATGAGTTCTACATTTCTCTCTTTAAAATAACTGAGATAGATTGTGTTTTCATTTCCACAATGTGTGTGCTACCAGTTATATCTAGATTTAAGTATACAATTCACTGAATTCAGAGGTGGGTTTTAAACTAGAAGTAGCTATAAATTTTCAGACAAGCCCAATTTTTCACATGATTGTAACCTTTGTCTATCAACATAATTAAAATGAAATACCAAGTTTTTTTTTAAAAAAGGAATGAATTGTGCCAGTCTAACATAAATCTCAAAGTACTCCCATAACAAGTACATCTTCGGTTTCAACTCGATTAATTTGACATATTTTTTGTTGAAAACCCGAGTAGCCACCCTCAAAACGATAAAATGTTTCACTGTTTATAGTTAAAGATTTATCAATGATAAAAAATTAGTTTGAATAATGATAATATCAATAATAACAATGTGCTATCAAGTTAATTCTGACTTATAACTACTCTTCTCAGGGTTTTCTAGGTAGAGAACAGAAATGGTTTCTCTTCTGGGGCCATACTAAAACTATGCAGTTTGCCTAAGGCTACACAAACTGGCTCTTCCCCTAATAGGAACAGTGGGGAATCACTGCCAACCTCTGGCTCTGCAGCCAATGCCTAAAACACTGAACTATCCAGCTAGCTATTGTTTCTATTTAAAGGGAATCTGACAAGGATCTTTGTTAATTTATCTGTATGATCAACAGATCAGATGACAAGCATAATTTAGTCATAATACAGTGGTGCCTTGACTTACAAAGGTAATTGGTTCCAGAACTCCGGTCATAACTCGAAATGGTCTTAAGTCGAAGCACCATTTCCCATAGGAATGCACTGAAATGCAATTAATCCATTCCAGCCAAAGAAAAAAAATCACAAAAAAACCCACTGCAAGACCCATCGGAAACACAATCCATTCCCCCCCAAATGGGAGAGGGGAAAGAAAAGCAAGCAAATCGTGCAAGACCCTTCGGAAGTGCAAAAAAAGCAAAGCAAAAAACCTGTTCAAGACCCTTCAGCAATGCAAAAAAAAAGCAAAGCAAAAGGCAAAGAAACCCTGCAAGACCCATCGGAAATGGGGGGGGACCCAAAAAAGCAAACAAACCCTTCAAGACTCGTCAGAAATGAGATTTAAAAAAACATGTTCAACTACAGCATAACTCCAAGCCAGTATGGACTATGCTAGCTGTGGAACACGAAGGTTTATTGTCTGGCATATTTGGAGAGAGCATCAGGCTAAAAACTGCTGGTTTATTTATACAGGACATTTCAAATTGCTTCCAAAAACTTCATCAACTTCCCTGCACCTTTCTAAGGAGGCAGCTGTATTAGAGAACTGAAAACCCATAAAAATACTGGCAAAATATGGGAGGAAATTCCCTTGAACCATTTTTCCTTTTTAAAAAACAAAACCAGGAAAACATTTCCTTGATTTTTCCCTAAACTTCAAATCTCTGTACTGCATCAAAAACAACAAAAAACTTTGTGACAAATACAACTTATTACATCTTAAACTTCTACAGGATTCTTTTGTTGTCTCCTCTGGGCCAACAATGGTCACAAGAATTGGCTTCCTTTGCTCACTTACACAGCCAAGTGAAAAACAATTAGGCTTTTTAAAAAAACTACTACTCAATTACTACACAGATTTTTAGAACTTTACATTACAATAATAGGTGTAGAAGCGGTAGCCATGTTAGTCTGTAGAAGCAGAGATGAAAACAAAATACAAAGAGCAAAAAAAAAAACGTGGTGGCACTTGAAAGACTATTAGTTAGTCTGTAGAAGCAGAGGTGAAAACAAAATACAAACAAAGAGCAAAAAAAAACGTGGTGGCACTTGAAAGACTATTACTGTATTTTTATATTTGTAAAGTGAGCTTTCATGGAACAAGTCTATTTCATCGGCGCCACACTTTTGTCTTTTTTTCCTATTTTAACTTTGTTTTCACCTAAACAATTTATCTGACAAGCAATTCACGATGCAACTTTTAACACAGACCCCTTTTATTACCTTCCAGCACTACTGGAGGAAAACCACTGATGTCAGGTTCTGAACCAAATGAGAATTTCTAGCTGACACCTGAATTTCTTTGACACAAGACTCACAAGGGGAATTTCCAAGGCCACATCACAAGGGTGAAAGAGAAAAGGAAACACTTACCCCACAATAACAAACGAACAGTTTCACTCCTAAACCATCTCTTTCCTTGGGAGTTTCCCGAAGTCACTACCAACTTCTAGTAGCAAAACTTGTAGGGATCCTCAAGATATGCCAGTTGTTCAAGCAGTGGCTTCCCCACAGCCAATTCCTCCACCACCACCCAGGAGTTTCCATGGCCAAACAAGGATTTGAATCCAGATCCTACGAGTCCATTCCATCCACTACATCACACAGCCGCTCGAAAAAAACTCTATTTGCCCCCCAAAAGGTCCAAAATAGGGAGTTTCGAAGCCCTCTACCCAAAGTAGCTAAAGGTCTATGGATACAGAGCAGGATTCTCTTGTTTTCCAGTATCACTAGCAAAAGAGTTTTAAGAGGCCTCCATAGTTTACTGTGGGTGTTTATTAAAGAAAAAAGTAAAACGTAACAATTCATCATTCAGCAAAAGACGGAGACTTCAAGGCGGTTTGTCAAATCTTTCCCTCAGCTTCCACTTTCCTGCCGCCCCTCCAGGAGCTGAGGGGGCCCGAAGAGACACTCTTGGGCTTCTCTGTGCGGCAACACAACATGGCGGCGCACCCCCTCAGCCTACCTCACCCCGGACTTCACTCCACTCGCCCTTCACGGTCACCCCAACACCGCCATGGTCAACGCTAGCCCTTTTTTTTAACCTCACCTCGAAAGCGCAACTCCACTCGCCCCTCTCTTCGCCTCTCCCTCCGCGCTCGCCTTCTCGACAGACAAACTCTCGCGCACAAAATGGCGGCCGCCTTCTCCCCCGACAGTCCCGCGAAGGGGGCGGGGAAATAGGCGTCACGCAGACCCGCCTCCCTCCGCTCGGAGCAGCCAATCCGCGCGAGGCTCATCCGGACGCCTGGCCAACGGGCATCGTGTCCGCCTGTTGCTAGGGTTGGGAGGGAAAACGGAGGGGGTTTGAGGAAGGGAAAGGGAGGAGGAGGAAAGAGCCCAGCGCAGCGGGAGGGGCTGTTGTTGTTGTTGGGTTTGAATCTCCCCGCGAGGGGCATGTCGGGAAAAAAATAAACGGCTGGGGAAAGAGAGCTGAGAGGATATGGGGTGGGGGGGAGCTGAGGGAAGGGCACGGTTCCTTCTCGCCTGGTCTCTCCTGCGGACACCTCCTCAGCATCTGACTGTGGGGATGAAGGCTCCGAAGCTTACGACCAAATACACCCTGTTACTAGTCATGAGTAAATGCGGGACTACAACTCCCAGAATCCCCATGTCAGGAAAGCTTACGACCAAATATACCCTGTTACTAGTCATGAGTAAAGGCGGGACTACAACTCCCAGAATCTCCCATGTCAGTACTCTGGGAGTTGTAGTCCAACAAGACAGTAACATGTCCCAAGCTCTGGTTTTGAAGGCGTCACAGCAAAACTTGTTTTTCTCTTCTGTTCCAGAACACCACACAGCTAATGCACGACCCACCCTTGGAAATAGCCATTCATTTAGGGATTTTGGATTCACAAAAGCTCACACTGCAAATCTTTTAGTCTTCAAAGGGGTCTGAAGTGCTTTGCTTCCCTCCTCCCCACACACTTTCCTTACTTTGCCAACATGCTGAGGCAAGCGAATGCAACTACTCCTGTGTACATTCTGACAATTCTGTTATTTGCCTATTTTGAAGATGTCCTCCCGGCAAAATGCTATATGCTCACCCCAGGGAAAGAACTAACACAATCGCTGTTTTTCCGCACATCTTTTCATCATTTGCGAAGCACCCTGATCAGATTGATTGCCACGGATTGATTGATTCATCTACAGTAATCCCTAACTGTGTGACATGGGGTTTTAAGCCAAGCTGTACTTGCAAAAGAGCCAAGGAGAATATATATATATAAAAAAAGATGTCCCCGCAATTTCACTGAGAATAGAATAATGAGTTTATGAAGATGAAGTAGCGATAGAAAAAAGCCCAACACTTCACATGGTCTCTCCTTTTGGATTTTAACAATCATGTGACTCTGCAAAAGTGTCTGTCAACAATGTAGACCAGCATGGAGACTGTCCAGTCCTAAAGTGGGACCAATTGCAGGCAGACCACCTGCATAGGGGCAAAATTAACCCCTCAGGCCCAAATGTCAAAGGAAACATCCACAAGCCCCTAGTGTATAATTTCCAGGTGTTAATATGTTCTCAGCTGACAATAGTATTTGACTGGCTAATTCTTTCCATGTCAGTATTTTGATTCCATGGTCAAATACCATGGGATTTGTTCTACTTATAACATAATTAGATTCTAAATATTTTTTTTACTAACTACATGATGCAAAAGCTGGTTCGAATCAGTCCAGCCCTTTTTGCTCTCTGCCACTGGGGAACGTTTACTTTTTCAAGCTGGAATGATTTGAATGGGCTCCATGTGGTTGCATTGTGATATGTTCTTGTAAAGACTGAGGGGGGGAGTCAAATACCTATCCTTTGAACCATTAGATCATCTAGGGCAAACTGGTTCTTCTTTAATGTCAGAGATTATCTGTAACTTCTCTTTCTGCCCCCAATGACGTATGTGGGGCCAGTATTGGCTGCTGTCATTGCACTTGAGGAAGCGGTTTCAGCAGGCTCAAGCAGGAAATGGGAAACACTGACCTATTCTGGTCAACACTGCCCTCCTTATAGCACTTGCCTGTCTTAAAACCTTTAATACCTGTTCCAGAAGGCTAGGAAACTCACCGGAGCAGGTTTTCAGTACAGGAGAACACTGCAGGGAGCAGGGGCCAAAACTCTTCACACTCTCATCCATGTCGTTTTGGATTTAAATTTAAACTACAGACTGGGAAAATAATTTTGGGGAATACTACTCCCACAATCCCCAGACTAGATGGGGATTCTTGGAGCTGTAGTCCAAAAGAAAAAAGAAAAAAATTCCAAGCTCTGGAGTATTTTGAATGCTGCAGGGGTCTACCTATGACATGTACTGGTAAATCTGTTGGTGGAGGGTGGATACATGTACCTTAAGAGCACAAGGACATAAATGCATGGTCTTAAATCCAAAGGCTGTGCTAGTACATCGTCTGCTATTTACCCATAGTCTGCTGAGGTGTCTTTGTACTGAGGTCACTCCTATCTACATATTTAATCAGTCTTACCACTGTATGCAGACATGTCTGAGCAGCAATCAAGACCGCATGCATGATGTAAGCCACCGCTCCCATGGGTGTGTAGAGTGCAGATTTCTGTAGGAGGGAGGGTTGCCTTGTTTACAATTGTTCCTGTTTCTACTTGTTGACTAAAATGTTCCGCGTTTCAGTGTAAGAGTTCAGAGTCTACAGATCATGAAATGGAGCAAGACCTGCCAGTTGCAACTGGTGGTAATCATACGGAGATATGAAATATAAGGAAAGTGGTGTGTGTTTTTTTGGGGGGGGAGTTCAGAGAAGGAAACGCAAGTACAGTACCAGTATTTCATGAAAAGTGAAAAGAGAAACGAGACACAAACAAGCTCCAAATTTGCAGAAGTCTTTTTTTAAATCAAAGTAAAAGGCATAGTTTTTACTCTTTTCCCAATTTTGAACCAATCAGTTGTTCCATATCAAATTCTAACTGTTGCTTCCTGTCCCACATATAGATTTCTCAGGAGATAGATATGGTGGTCAGACACTGCCATTTCTTTATGAACTTGCCATAGTTTGCTGTGGTCCACACAGTCAAAGGGCTTTTATGTAGATTGCTGCCTCCCCTTCATGGATTGTTGCTTTGTCATGGCAAAGGGGCTTGAGTGATTCGGAGAAGCGATGGACTATGCTGTGCAGGGACACCCAAGACGGACAGGTCCTAGTGGAGAGTTCTGACTCAACGCAATCCATCTGGAGCAGGAACTGGCAAGCCACTCCAGTATCTTTGCCAATAAAACTTCATTCAACTGCCTTAGGAAACTTTTAATCAACTTGAACTAAGCCAGGACAGTTTTCATTCAACTGTCTTAGGAAACTTAATCAACTTGAACTAAGCCAGGACAGTTGCATGCTGAGAAAAGTTAAGCAAGTGGTTACCCCTTCCATTTAAATTACCGTAGTAAAAGCTAAAGATGCAACTGATTACATCTGTCAACTGAATCCAGACAGCTGCATTATGCAAACTTCAGGACACTCTGTTTGGTTATTTAGATCCTAGTTTATTGGAAGGTGCAAACCATCCACTCCATGTTGCTAATCACCTTTGCCGGTCTTGTCTGTTACAAAAGACCTGCCATTTGGCAAAAATGTCACCTTGTTCTTCACAGAATTATAATTCCCAGGATTGTCTGGGGAGAGGGGGAAATGAATGTGAATTCTCTCTGTGTCTGCAGGGTACCTTCGCTCGGTGTTTAAGAGCGCCATTTTGAATAGCACAGGAGAGGAGGAAATGTTAATTCTCTCTGTGTCTGCAGGGTACCTTCACTGGGTGTTTAAGAGCGCCATTTTGAATAGCACAAGCTGTTGCATATAACACTGGTAAGCACAGAGTGTTGTCGTAATGAGGCCCTAAGCATGTGGTGAGTAAGAAACCACAGAGTGAGGCCTTCTGACATCACAAGGTCGGTTCCTTGTGAAGTCATAGAGGTGGGGCAGGCAACGGTTCAGACCGATAACTGGAACTACAACTTTGCCAAGGAGTTGAAGAAAGAAGCACAAGGGCAATCTGGACAAACGGGCAATACTTTGGTAAAAACAGGCCAATAAAAGGATGTGGCCACCAGCCAAGGGCAAAAGACATTTTTCAATGGCCGGACGAGGGAGAAACTGTGCCGAGCAGCTGCAGTCGTTGCTGCCATTCCAGATAAGGCGCATGCTTTCTGTGACCTTATTTACAGCACACATGACACACGGGGAGTGTTTCTAGACCCTATGCTGCTGCTGAAGCTCTGGGGATTTCTCTCTTATGCGATCAGGAGGCACAGAAGTTGCAATATTGATGCTGTACACCCTCTCGTGCCCTAAACAGTGGGCCTAAATGCCTGCATCCGCCAGCCCTCTCTCCAAAGTCCTGGCTCTGTGGCATGCTAACACCAACACAGCTGCAGCACACATGCAGGTAGCTTTGCACTGATACTAGCTGGGAATGGGTGGAGAAGGCGTACAGTAGCTTTGCGCTGATACTAGCTGGGAATGGGTGGAGAAGGATGCCCAAATTTTAAAGCCACCCAACAGACAAAAATTAAACATTCTCTTTCTA